TCTTATATGAGGTGATGCGCATTTCGAATCACTTTCCTTGTTCGAGAAATGTATTAATTGTATTAATCGTAATTTTGAAATGTATTAATTTGATTAGATCTTCTAATTTTAAATATTTTTCGCTTATCATAAAAAAAAAAACACTTTTTTGTTAGATATTGCTACATATAATTAAGTCATTCATACATATTTCTTCGACGTGGAAACAAATTTTCTAACTACGATTATGCCGCTTTTTTCAGTTATGAGCGAGGTAAACTCCATTACGCAAAAACTTGTTTTATCTATTTGACTCTGTTCAAATAAATGACCTCAATCTAGATCAAGATCACTTTATTCATGAACATTAAATACTTTATATATCCTTTATTGTGGCTCGGTGGTCTAGGGGTATGATTCTCGCTTTGGGTGCGAGAGGTCCCGGGTTCAAATCCCGGCCGGGCCCTAGCTTTCGTTTTTTTTTAAATATTATTTAACTACATGATTAACTTTCGCTCAAGGTCTCTTTTTCTTTTCTAAAGAGAATTTTTTTATATTCTAAAGTAGGTTCTAATTTTGTGCAGATACTACTAATTTTTTTTTTAAATATTACTTGACTACATGATTTAGATCAAGATCACTTTATGCGTAAAGATTAAATGCTTTATATTTAGTTTATCGTGGCTCGGTGGTCTAGGGGTATGATTCTCGCTTTGGGTGCGAGAGGTCCCGGGTTCAAATCCCGGCCGGGCCCTAGCTTTCTTTTTCTTTTTAATATTATTTGACTACATGATTTATATCAAGATCACTTAATGCGTAAACATTAAATGCTTTATATTTAGTTTATCGTGGCTCGGTGGTCTAGGGGTATGATTCTCGCTTTGGGTGCGAGAGGTCCCGGGTTCAAATCCCGGCCGGGCCCTAGTTTTTTCTTTTTATATTATTTAAATACATGATTAACTTTCCGCTCAAGGTCTCTCTTTTTTTTTAAAGAGATTTTTTTTTTTTATATTCTAAAGTAGGTTCTATTTTTCTGCAGCTACGATAATTTTTTTTTTTTTTTTTTTATCATGGACGTGTTTTGGGGTACGAAATTTAAATTTCATGATGCATAATACAGGAAAATATATCTCAATAATATATTTACATTTTTCAAACATAAGCAATTATTTTTAGCGTCTATGAAATAAACTAAGCACTTTCCTTACAATCTTAAAGCAACTTTACAGACTTCTAAATTTTTTTCTATAATTTCCTATAGTGCTAACTTTAATCGATTCTGTTTTCCGTTTACCTTGAAATTAAGAGTTGGAAAGACAAAGCGACGAACAGTTTTATCAGTTTAGCCTTTGGCAGAGACGCCACCTGCTGCGGACACGCCAAAATAATTAAAAAAAACGGTAAATAACTACGAAGCAAATTTTGCAAAAATTTGACTATTTTTGCTTGCATTTTTAAAAGGTATAGCATGACAATAATACTATAAAGTGGTGAATCATATAAGCCTACGAATTATTTAGAAATAGTGGGGGATAAAAATCTACTAAATTGGATTTTTTAAACCAAGAATCACAATTGATAAAGTCCCACTTTAATTCTCGGCTTTGGATCTAATGGATTCTTTTGAAGCCTAATTTCCTCACATAGTATAATTTGTCTTTGAAAATGGCATTCAATAGGTTTTCTGGGTAACCATATAAAAACCATTTATTTTAACAGATAAGATAGACCAATGAAAATTAAAAACTATATTTAAAATTCTCTTTCCATTAAGTTGTATTAAAAATCTCATTACATTACTGTGATAGCTACGTATTTGTTATTCAGCTCAATTTCGGATTAATAATAGTAGTAATTTAAAAGTGAACAAATTTAATTTTAGTGAACAAATTCGAGTCTTGAAGTTACGGGTAGCAGACAATTTTAATTACTTTAATTTTTTTCGTACTTCAATTCATCATTTATAATGTTAATGAAATTCATTTAGATCGCGTGTGAAATTAGTATATTTCTTCTTCCTAAACTAAACTAAACTCAGGGGCGCGACAGCCTACAGAGGGCCAAGGCCTGCTGTGCCCATCTCAATTTTCTTGACATTGGGCTCTGGGGTGCAGGAGCAGATGTTCCGGTCAGGAGGTCAGCCGAATGCGGAATCCCCAGTGTTTAGTTCCCAAGCATGCTTGGTGCTCATTTATCGACCCACTGAAGGGATGAAAGGCTGAATCAACCTTGCCCGGCCCGTGGATAGAACCCAGGACCTGTGGCATGAGAGCGCTAAGCGCTACCACCCAGTCACCGGGCGTCTATTTCTGCTTCCATAGAAAAATTCCACCAACATTTGTTTCTTTTTCTTTTTTTTTCTTCCTTTTTTTTTTAAAAAAACCCAACTACTGCTGCGAACGATAAAGAAGAAATATGGAGAGCTTGTTTCAGTTTAGGGAAAACACCACAAACCTCATATTTGATGATTATGAAGCAGCCGATAAAAATGTTGAAACTTGTGGTGCTTTCGAATCAAGAAATGGTTGTGGAAGCTGAAGAAGTAATATCGATGGAAAAAGGCGAAACAGGATCACTACCAGTGCCATTTGTAGAAGGCCTCGAAGCCTTTTAAACCTTTAGTAACAATGTATTTGAAAAAACTTCAGAAAGTGAAGAGAAATCTGTTATATATTTCGAAAATGTATTGCATACTCGGAGAAAAAAAAGAGTTCAAATCAAAACTACAAACCAGAACAAAACCAATAAAAAAACAAAACCAATTGTATTTTTTCCCATGCCAACCCGATTCACACTCGTCACATATCAGTAGGGCATATTTCTGGGCCACTCTTTCTGGGACACCCTATTAGGTGAACCAACATTGTTCCCACATTACAGACAGACAGTACAGAGAATGAAAGAACACCCATGCCTTGTCCGGGATTCGAACCAAGAACCTTTCTGATGTGAAGTCAGCTCCCTGATCACTACCTGTCTGCAGTTTCCAAATATTTTATATTAAAAAAAAGAACTTATGGATTTTTATCTTGTGTTGTAAATATTTTTACAGCAAGTTCATAATAATTTTAATTAAAAAAGATATAATTGTTGTAAATTTATGAACTTTCAATTCCATTATTTCTTTATTACTTTTCACTCATTCTCAACCCATTATTTCATATTTTATGTATTCGTCGTTTTCCCGTATCTATCGTTCACAATGAATGGTTCCAAACGTACCGTTCGTTCGAAGTTCTGCTAGTAGGTAAAGATGCCCCTTTTTCATAATTATTGACATAGAAGGAAAAAAGAAAATGGCTTAAGAATTGACTGACAACTGCTATACGTATTTTATATCCGTCGTTGAACAGCCGACCCAATTTTTGGGTTTACGACTACTAATATTCAACACCGTAGTCTTGTAATTTTGAACCAATCCAGAAGACAAGGAAACTCCTGGATCAGTACCCCCAGAGGTATTGAATTGTTACGGGAACATGGAGGAATTTGAGACTCGACAGATTTAACGGGCATAATTCACCATGCTATACGTATTTTTATTTTATATTTTATAACCGTCGTTGAACAGCTGACCTAATTTTATGGGTTTACGGCTACTAATGTTCAACTTCGTAGCCTTGTAATTTTGAACCCAATCCAGAAGACAAGGAAACTCCTAGATCGAGTATTGGGAGAAATTTGCCTTCGTGGAGGACTTTTTGATGGAGCTAACCCGCATTTGCGTTACATGGAGAGGGATACCAAGAGAACCTCCCACGGTTAGCCTGACGGCAAGGGGACTCTAACCCATGATCCGTCTACCACTGAGGATATTTCACGTCAGCACTTTGGTCTGTGCAAGCTGGATGCGGAATTCGTATCGACTGGGATTCGAACCCGGTTCGCCGCATTGAAAGGAGAAAGCTCTATCTCCTGAGCCATCGTGACTCATGCTATACGTATTGTAAATTTATTAGTTTTCATGTCCAACACTTTTTTTTTTACTTTTCTTATATTTTAAAGCTATTATTTGATTTTCTATGTTACGTCGCTTTCGCGTATTTTTCGCTCGCAATGAATGCTTCCATAGGAAACGTTTGATCAAGGTCCTACCATTAAGTGAAGGAGAACCTTCTTTCCATAATTATTGTAATGGAAGGGGTAAGAAACGACTTAAGAATCCACTAATCGAATTCTATATTTTCTAATAAATAATAAATTGATCGATTTTAATTTTTAATTGTGTTCATGTATATTTGAATTAATTAATCTTAGTCTGAAGAAAATACGTTAAATTTAAATTTTTTTGTGATACAGTCAAACTCCGCTATAGTGAACACGGTTTATAGTGAACTCCCGGATATAGCGAACAAAACATTCAATCCCGTGCACGGCTATACACATATAATGTTATTTTTTGTGGATATAGTGAACCAAAAAAAAGAGAGGAAGTTGGATATTATGAACTTTTTTCTGCCTCCGACTCTGATTTTTTTCTTCATTTTCTGGTAATTTTGAAAAATTTCTACATATAATGCATATACCGATTTTTAAAACCATCTATAGAGTGGAGTCTAGCCGTAAGCAATTTTCTTGCTTGCTTCTTTAATCTCAATTTCCCTTCCCCAAATAAAGACCATCCCTAAATTTTTTTGTACGCAAGACGAAGAGTAATAAAAAATAAAATTTAACAAATTTTTTGTTAATACATATTGTTTTTTAATAATTTTTGCATTTCATTTTTTTTGTTCATTTATTTAAATAATGTGTAATGAAAGGGAGGCGCTCAGAACCGTTAGTTCAAATTGTTTGCGGAATGGAGATAGTGAACTCCCAGTTATAGTGAACCAAAATTTCGGTCTCTTGAAGGTTCTCTATAGCGGGATTTGACTGTAGTAAAATTCTGATATTTTTGAAATGAAAATTTATCTTTGTGGTTGATTGGACACCCCTTTTCTAAATGCCCTACTCTCCTTTCCCAGACTTATCTACGCACTTAAGACAGTATATAAAATAAATGAGAGTTAAATGATCCTTACTCGCTTCTTCCGCCATCAGCAAACCAAGCTCCAGAGGTTGAAGGTCCAGCACTTGAAGGAGAGTAAGGGATGGTGGAATGGGGCACTTTACCTTCATTTCTGACCACCATAGACATCCTTTCCAGTGACTGAAGTAGACTGACAGCCTCATCATGAGTGATGTGCGTGAAATCAATGTCATTAACAGATAAAATCTGATCGCCAAACTGTAAAATAAATAAAAATTATTCTACTAGATGCTGAATTTTCAATGAAAGCTGAGCAATAAAAAAAATGCAGTACAGTCTAAGGGCCTGGTTTCTTAAGACAAGCGGCTTCTCTGGCCTACAGCTGAAGCTGAAGCCAACAAAATACACAAGCGACTAGGGACAGGACGATTCCATAATGCAAACGGACTTAGAAAATTTAGAAAGGGGAAAATGAGCTCGATATCGGGAAAACGTTGCTGGTGAGAGCTTTAGCTTAGCAAAATATCGCCTTATTTTAAGCGCCAACATTGGAAGTCAAACTTTGGCGGGATTTTCTGAAGAAAAAAAAATTTAACTAGGGTCATCCAAAAAGAAAGAATTGATTATTCGGCTTTACAGAGAAGACAGTCAGATTTGATTTTTTTTATCTTCAAAGAACGTTTTTGATGCAGAGAGGTACGTACCTCAGTACTGTTGACAATTATCGGTCGCTGCTCCAGCAATTTTGTACATGTTGGAGAAGCGTGAGGGGAGGGAGATCGTGAAAAGAATTCCGTGTATAAACCGGGCAGTGGCACTTGACTTTAAAAAAACATCAGTGCAGGGAATACCGGGCAAATGTATACCAGGCAGTGGCACTTGACCTTAAAAAAACATCAGTGTAGGGTATACCGGGCAAATGTATACCGGGCATGTGGCACTTAACTAGACCTTGTATATATTTCAGACATTTACCAAAAGTCTAGTCAACTAGACCTAGTATAAGTGCCACTGCCCGGTATACCCTATACTGATGTTTTTTAAGGTCAAGTGTCATTGTCCGATACATATTTGCCCGGCATACCCTACACTGATGTTTTTATAAGGTCAAGTGCCATTGCCCGGTATATATTTGCCCGGTATACGCTACACTGATGTTTTTTAAGGTCAAGTACCACTGCCCGGTATATATTTGCCCGGTATACCCTACGCTAATGTTTTTTTAAGGTCAAGTGCCATTGCCCGGTATACCCTACACTGATGTTTTTTTAATGTTCAGTGCCATTGCCCGGTATGTACTTGCCTAGTATACCCTACGCTGACGTTTTTTTAAGGTCAAGTGCCATTGCCCGGTATAATTCTCACATTTCATACTTTGCCTAAAAACATCCAACATTCTATACAATGCCGACGTTTCATACTTTGCCGGTAACATACATATATTAAGATCTAACTAACTTTAAGTAAAAAGAAATTTAAAAACAAAAGCAAAACAGATAACAATAATAAAAAAAAGACATAACGAAAAAATTCAACAAATAACATATTTTATACGAGTTCGAAAATGACAGCAAACGTCGAAAAAAATAAATATAAAAACAAATGCGAACGGTGACGGTAAACCTTTGAAATTTAGCCAATACGCCAAGAAAGCGAACAAAAAAATCCCCAATATTCTCAGTGTAATTACCCTTTTTCCCTATTTTTACTCATCCGACGAAACTCTAAGTTTTTAACATTATGGAATCGTCCTTCCCCTAGTCGCTTGTACAAAATACTGTTTTGTTATCTCAGCGTAAGCAGTCGGTCCAACGCAGACATTATCTCGCATTGCGCAAATATTTATTTCGAATTTGTATTGATTTTTTTATTGTCGACTAGTGCTTTAGAGAACAAATAATGACTTTGTCCAAGAAAAAACACATTATAGCTTAGCTAAATGAAGAAGATGAAGCTATGTTTAATGTTAAAATCAAAATCTTGGCTGATTTCACAATGCTCTGTTGGATGTTGTCCACCATTGCTTCTGTCGTTAACGTTACGTTGTATTCCAACTGCAGTTCATTCGGGAGGCAGTCGTTGTTCAAGCTGAGCGTTCGATGACGTATTCTGTCTAACTCACAAATTGGCCAATCAGGGGTTTGAGATCGCTTCAAGCTGACGTTTTGTAACGCCAACCTGTCCTAAGAAATCAGGCCTTTAGGTTTCTGACAGACTTAACGGTAGGGCATAGTTACATCAATAAGCTGACCTTTTTGATTTATCTTTTCTGAGACAGTACTTATGACATTGCTTTGAAATTTTTTAAGGGACATTTGTGATTATATCAGTTGTATGCTGTGACAATATTTTTGTGTTAACAGGAATTCTATTTGAGTTAGAAAGACTTTGCACAAAAAATGAGATGAAACATTTTTTTATAAATTTCTCAGTTCATAGTTTTCGAAAAAATATTCTGCCAAAGATATGTGTAGCGTGTCTACCATTTACAAAAGTACAATTCCAATTCACTAGTATATAAGACATGTTAACTAGATTCAATGTTGGGGTACCTTTTCATAGATGACGGTTGATATGGTCGATAACTACTCACTCCACATTGGTGACCTTCGGACGTGATGTAAACTCGCCTACCTTGACAGAAACTCCTACTTTGATTTGAATACGCCTACCTTGACAGAAACTCCCACTTCGATTTGAACACACCTACCTTCACAGAAACTCCCACGTCGATTTGAACACGCCTCCTTCGATGGATAGTCCACATTGAACAGTTGACTTGCTACATGTGACTGCGACCTTATCTACCTCCTCGCGCTGTTGCTACTCAGTCTCGATCACACACAACGTTGGCCTGCATACAGTCAACTGCTAATGGCAACACAGGAGCAACCACGACCGTGAACTTAATACAGCTCTCACGATCAGCAAAAAGTACGGTGACCTCCCGGCCTTTTACAAAACTGCAATGAATTAACTAGTTTTATACGTTCATCAAATGCTATCACAGATATAATTTTGGTGGGGGAGATTTCTGTAGTATTGTAGTGTATCTCCCACTAGAAAAATACAATTCCAATTCATTACTATATAAGACTTGTTATTCAATTCTATGATGGGGTACCTTTTCATAGATGAAGGTTGACATTATCGATAGCTACGAGTTCCACACTATGTATTAACAGTTATGCACAGTGTAAACGTGTATATAAAAATATTCTGTTTAAACAACAGATATACAGAAAACAGCATCTTGATTAGATGCAGAGAAAAGGTACATCGATAAAGGTCAGTTTTTACATCATCGGTATATATGCTTTACCAACTCCCCTTAAATAAATTTGGCACCGTGCCAGCGCTGGAGGTAAAACAGAAAAGATTATCTTTCATTATGACCGTCGCCTGAGCTGTATGCTAAAAAGAAGTAAGAGGTTGTTTGTCATTATTTCAAGCTAAGAATGCTCACTTATTCAAAACTAAAAAAAATTATAAATTCCGATAATTCAGTATAAATTACCTATATTATTTTATGAATATATTTGACCGAAAACAAATTATACTCCATTATAATTTATAAACTTCACCCTGAGAAAGAAATGTTTTTAAAAAATTGAAATATTAAAAGGAGAAAATATGGCGCATATTGCTTTAGCAGTTAAAATTTTTAATGCGCTTTATAAACTGATGGTAGCTTTTCTACATTACACAATCAGCACCTAAAATCAAGCAGATGTTTTGCTTTAACGGAGAACACAGTTAGTGAATATAGACAGTCGTTTGCTGAAGCGCGCGACATTTCAAACAACTTTGGTTAAACAGCTTTGGTATTACAACCTAACAGTGGTACAGATATACTTTACTGTAATACAACTGTACTATAATACAAAATATACACGTTGCCATCACAATACCAAATATCAATTGTGATACTTTAGAACAGAATGTTTCAAATTTCAACAGACAAATTTAAGAGGGTGATGAAAGACGTCAAGATGCCTACAAGCAGAGCTAGCTGGAAATTCGAATTACACTGCGAGCTCACAAAGACCACAGTGCTGATGTAAAATATCCTAAATGGTAGACGGATCATGGGTTAGAATTTCTTTGTCTCCGGGCTAACCGTAGAATGTTTTCTTCTCCACGTAACTCAAATGTGGGTTAGTTCTATCAAAAAGACTTCCACGGTGGCTAGTGTGACACAAAACCTGTTTCTGGAGATTCTCTGTTTTCTGGGTTGGATTCAAAATTATTACAATCCAAATTAATTATAATTCAAAATTATACAATTGATACCTTCAAACTCAAAAACAACTCCACAGTCAAACACCAATTATAAAATTAAAATGAATGAGTTGTCCAAAGTGGCATCCACTTACATGATTACACAGTCAACAACGACGTAAAAATGATGCACCGAGGCGGTGTGTCTACGAGTCATTTTTACGTTGTTATTAAGTACTAGGTGTGTTTTTAATGTCTGACGAAGCGACGACAATTCGCTCTTTGTAGTCAGACTTCAACTGACTTCCACCTTTTGTCTCCTTTAGACTCAGTTGTTGTTGTAGTTCATTTACGTCGCACTAGAGCTGCGCAATGGGCTATTGTCGACGGTCTGGGATACATCCCTGAGGATGATCCGAAGATATGCCATCACAATTTTATTCCTCTGCAGAGGGGATGGCACCTCCACTTCGGTAGCCAGACGACCTGCGCGCGAAGTCGAGCACTTTACGGTAAAACAGTTTAACGAGGACCAATACCGCACACTCTCAGTCCCTACGCTGACTGATCCAAGTGGTCACCCACCCGCACACCGACAGCAGCTAGTGATGCTTGACTTCGGTGATCTGCTGGGAACCGCGTCTTAAGGAACAGTCCACTGAGGGATCTTTTAGACTCAGAGCCTACATAGGTTTTTCACGATTTTCACCCTCTCAGCCACCTCGGTTGAATTCGCTCGATGAATTTGTCGGTTAAATTTAGAATTAGTTAAGAGTTTTTAATTATTTTCTAGCTTAATTCATAATTATTAAAACTAGGATAAAAAAACTCGCTTTCACACCAATTATAGTTAAAATTCATAGCTTTTTAATTTGAATTTTTAACTAACTAACTATTTCTTAACCTTTGACAAGAATACCGCCTACCTAACTAACTCCTTTCCAAATTGCTTTTCAGTTCCTTTCATCCTAAGTAATGTAGAGTTAATAAGATAATTCATTTCGCAATTTGCACATCTTTTATGTAAAGTAATTTCG